GAGCCTGCTCGCTCGCCCCCTTCTGCCCGGCTTCTCGGCGGCGTCCTGGCGCCCCGCAGCTCTGCACGGCGCGGAGTTAGAAACCATCCACGTTGAACTCGGGCGCCTCCGAACGTATGGCAGGCCGGGGCCGTGGGAGCCACGGGTCCCCACCTTTGTGTGGCGGTTCGGCTCTGCTCCCCGCTCTCCTGCCTTTGTGCGCTCCAACTCTGTTCTTTGTTGTGGTGAGGGAGCATTACATCCGCGCTCTGGCTGGGAGCTCCTAGAGGGAGCTCAAGTTCTCCGGCCTGAAACTTTGCAGGCTATTTTAAATATGTATACAATGCAGCGTGCGGGACGGAGCGTGGAGGTGGCCGCCTCTTTGTTGGAAGTTGAGCCCGTGGAAGACGCCGGATAAAGACCGTCTCTTTATGGAGTTGATAAAACCTTGCAGATGTCTCCATGCCCAGCTATCCTTGGGATGCGGGACCGGCCTGGCAGGAGCTTGGGGTTTCCTCCTGAGCCGAGGGGGTGGCCGCACCTCCTGAAGCAGACAGCTCCCCACCACCTGCCCTGCCTCAACCCCCTTGCCTGGCTTATGCTGCTAAATCGGGTTAGCTCACCTGAGGCTTTTTAGCCGTTCAGGTGATACGGATTACCCTGGGAACCGGAATTCTCCCGAATTACCTGAAAAGGAGAGTCCTTCTGAACGGGTTGTTTCAAAACCTTAGACCCCTCCCGCAGTGGTCTTAACGTCTTGGTCCCCTTTTTCTAACCCGTGAAGAGTTGAGAAGGAGGGGTCCGGAGGGAGGCGGGAAGCAGCTGGCCATATTTGTGCGGCAGGCCGGCTGGTGGGGAGGGGACCCATTCTTGAGAGTAGACTCCTGCCAGATCTTGGATTAATTATTTCAAGAGGCTTTTGTTTTAAGGCAGCGTTTGGGCAGCATGTGTATGAGTGCCCTCCATCCCCCTTCTTCCTCCTTTTGCTAGTCGGGTCCAATTTCCTGAAAATGAACTGAGCTGTGTGTGATAGGCGGGCAATGGGGGAGGGGTGGGGTTGAGGAAGGACGTGCATCCCAGCATCTGGGAAAGATTCCCGGTGGTGGGGAAGGAGAGGCAGTTCCCAGATCTGCTGGTCTTTCTTGGCCAGCCCTTCTCTGACGTCATTCTGCTCGCAGGCTGCCAGCTGAGATGAGACACTCTGATGTCAAGGTTTTCCTAGGTTGTCGAGACGATGGAATGGGGTTAGGGAGGACTAAGGCACTGTGGCCGCCGCTGGACTTCTTCCTTCATCCGCTTTTATAGAAGCGAGAGCCCTGGGGGTCTTGCTGCTTTATCTTTCACTGTTTTTCCTTCCCCTCTGCAGTTCTGGGGATTGAACCCAGGGCTTTGCTCATGCTAACCCGCACTCCACCACTGTACCCAGCCTACACCTCCAGCCCTTGTCTCACGTTTTAATTTTTCATAAGTTTTAGAAGAATAGCGCCATTGTTAGCTTTTGGCCAGTATGCTTTCTCTCCATTTCTGTTCAATAGTACAGGCTGAGCATCCTTCATCAGAAAATCAGTCTAAAGGAAGACTGAAACTTTTTGAAGTGCTGACCTGATAGCATAAGCAAAGATTCTAAACCATGAAACTGTTGCATGCCCCAAATTATTTAAAATAAAATCTGTATTATTTAAAAATTGCCTTCAGGCTACATGCATTGGACAAATATGAAATAAATGAATTTCATATTTAGATTTGGGCTCCACTCCCATTATCTATATGCAAATATTCCAAAATCCGAAGGAAAAAATACAAAATCTGATTCGCTTCTGGTCTGAAGAATTTTGATTTTTTTTTTTTTTTTCGGTACCGGGGATCGAACTCGGGTCCTTGCACTCGAGGCAGGTATTCGCTTCTGGTCTGAAGAATTTTGATTTTTTTTTTTTTTTTCGGTACCGGGGATCGAACTCGGGTCCTTGCACTTTCGAGGCAGGCAGTGGAACCACTGAGCTAAATCCCCGGCCCTGAAGCATTTTGAATAAGGGATACTCAGGGTGTAATACAGGCAAATGGATAGTGTTCTTTCAACTGTGAAGCTCTTCCCACCAGCTTGTCTGTACCTCTGAGTCCCAGAGGCCCAGGGAAAGCCTCTGTGGGACAGGAAAAGATGGCAGAGATAAACTGGACTTCTGTGGCCAAAGTGCCCGCAGGGTACCTGCCCTCTGCAACAGTAGCTGCCGCAGCTCTGTGAGTTCGCAGAAGAGGAAACAAAATGTTCTTCCTTGGGACACAGTATATCAGGATCCCACTCCTGAAAGGTACCTGGAATAGCCCAGGCAAACGGGCCGTGGCTATCATCCTTGGAGCACCAACTGTTGCTGTGGGAGGAGGTGGGGACAAAAGGCCTCACTGGCCTTTCAGATGCAGTTTTCTAGGAGGGCAGTCCTGAGCCCTCCTCCAGTATAAACTGAAGGGCTGGTCTTTTTGGAGACAAGGTCTCACTATGTAGTTCAGGCTGGACTTGAACTCACCATGGAGCCTCCTGCCTCAGCTTCCAGATGGCGTGTGTGCCACCATACCCATCCCTAGAGGGAATTTAACAGTCTTGGGGGTGTGGGCTTGTCCTATTCAGATTACCCTAGGATGGGTAGCACTCACACACTTAATCCTAGTGCCCTTGAGCCTAGCATTGAGTCATGAATCAATTCCAGCTTCAACTCTAGATCCACACATCTCTGCAAAAACCTATGACCGCATGAGGCTTTTCCAGGACATTAAATACAAGCCATAACAGAGTAAATATTTCAGTGGGAAAGGATGCTGAAAAGAACTTTCTAACTTCTGCTGGAGCCTAGAAGGCCCTTGCCTTCCTGATGGGCACAGCAAAGTTTAGTAGCTATCCCTTCAATTTCCCTCCTAATCAAAATTTTTTGGAATAAGAACTTCTTTTACTTTCTGCTTCTCCACAGTGTCTGGGTCACTACATAAAGCAGGTCTTCAACAATACATATTAGTTGACTGGTTATTTATTAGCTGAAGTCAGTTTCTGGGCAATTTTCCCAAACATCAGTCTTCTTATTTTTAAGCAGGAGACTTTGCCAAACGGCCCAGGTTGTTTTGAGAAAGTGGGGAGTTATTTATCCACTAACTAGTTATTGAGGAAGCCAAACAGTGGGCTAAGCCCTAGAGAATATGCAGAAGTCCAGAACAGTGTCTTCAGATCCAGGAGTGTCTAGGCTTGCTAGGAAGAGTGTATGTGTTTCTTTTGTTTGTACTTTTTGACAGAGCCTCACTATGCAGTCTAAGCTGGCCTTGAATTTGCTGTGCAGCCCAGGCTTGAGAACTTGTGATGCTTTTACCTGAGCTTCCTGAGTACCAGTATTGCAGTTGTGCACCACCCTGCCTGGCTTGGTGCTTTACTTTTTATACCACAAAGCTAAGCTTTGTGCCTCTTTTCTATCCAACATGATAAGGTCATCCAGTCACTCTTCTGTGCTTTCTTACCCTTAGCATCTGTCACAGCATTTAATATATGTTTGATTCAGAATTAACCACTGTGCAACCAGCCACTTTAAGACAGTGGATGAGAAAGAGCCAGTACAAGTGATACCGATTGTAGTAGGTGCTGTGGAACGCTCGAAGAGGAGGCTCCCTCCCTGGACCATCACCAAGACCAGGGCTGGCAGGCTTCAGAAAGGACAGGGAGCCCTACCCAGGGGTGATGCAGAAAGGTGAGGAGGCAAACGGAGAGAAGACTGGGCAAGAAATACCGAGGTCCCTGCCACGGCGGTGCATTCCTATAATCCCAGAACTTTGGACCGAGGCGGGAGACTTCACAAGTTTGAGTTCAGCCTGGCAAATTAGTGAGACTCTGCCTCAAAAAATTAAATAGGGCTGGGGATGTAGCTCCATGCAAAGGCTCTGGGTGCAATCCCCAGTACCACGAAAAGAAAAAGAATGAAGAGACTGGCCCGACAGATGTAGTGCTGTCGATGCTGAATGGGAGATTGCGAGGCAACAGCCAGCAGGGCCGAGCACGTCCTGGACGGAAGCCGGACGGGAGTGGGCGATAAATGGAGCGCGACGGGGTGTCAGACGTGTGGGGGGAATGAGGAGGAACCAGAAAAGGCGATGACACCTGAGGAAGCAGGAGTAGGTGATAAGTGTCTGGAAAGGCTTTGCGGCTGCAGAATGGGGCACCGTGTGGAACAGGCAGGAAGGGCAGGATGGTCCCGTCAGGTGTGAGGAGGGAAGGGAATGAGATTCGCTGTGTGGGAATTGACTTCCAGTCTCCCCGGCAGGCTTCTGCTGAGCTGTGGAAGCACTGGTAATTGTCAGGTAGAACTTTATGGTCTGTTTTAATAGGTCCTGGCTTCTCACCGAGATGTAAGGAAAGTGCCTAGAACCCAGAGCCTGAGTGCAGAGAACCTTTGGGAGCCAGACCTTCTTAGCTGTTTGGCTGTGGGCGGGTTATTTAATGACTGAGTCTTTTTCTCGTAGGCGGGGAAGTAACATTTTACTGTGACATTACAAAGATATAATTGGAAGCCAAGCGTGTTCCTGTGGCCCCTGCTACTCAAAAGGCTAAGATAGGAGGATCACTTGAGCCTAGGAATTCCAGGCCAGACTGGGCAACATAGCAAGACCCCATCTGCTTATAAAAATAAGCAAAAAATAGCTTGAATGGGTAAAATGCAGATGTGGTTGGGATGCAGTGGCTACAGTGTATTCTGTTTAATCGAGGTTTTGCCCTTTCCTTTCTCCTCTGCCATCCACCGCCTTTGGCTTTCCATCAGGCTGTTTGTTGTCTTTCCAACTACCACTTGGCTCCCATCCTTCTTGGGAGACATGGCGATAAGAAAATCTTTTTAAGCAGAACTTCTCTTGTTCCCTTGCCCAGAACCCGGTCGCATACCCACCTCAACACCAACTACTGGCAAGGGGTTAATGACCTCAGCACTAAAAGGACCATTCGGAATCTGTCCCCAGCCCTGTGAGAGGGGAAGTGTCCAGTGGCAGGCCAGTGCTTCTCTTGACTGCGGAGCTATCACTTGCAGGCCTTGTTGGAACGTCTGCCCTGATTCGTTGAGTCTGCTGTGGGCCTGTGATTCTGCTTTTCCAACAAACTCCCAGGGGCTGCCATTACCACTGTGGGTTTTGAGTAGAGAGGGGCAGCCGGACAGGAAGGGAATCTGTGGCTACCTACCCCCAGCTCCCGTTTAGGCTTTCTGGAGTGCCAACCTTGTCTTGAAGTGAACAATTTCTATTCTAGTCCTGGCACAACTTGTCTTCTGGAGCGAGTGGCTTAATAGTGACAAATGATCTTTGCAAATGCACTTTGTAATTTCACGGCCTATTTCTTGCAACACCGTTTTCAGTCCTAAATTTTGCTCATTTTCCTATGACAAAGTGATGCTTAGAGAGGTGACTTCTTAAAGGTCATCACAGCTAACCAGAAGGAGGTGGGTTGGAACCAAAAAAAATACACTTTCTCACCTAAGTCTGTTCATTTTGCTACTCTACTCCAGGGGTTTCTACCTCGTAGAACTGAGTTTTCCCATTTTTTGCCCATTGCCTGAATCCTTGGCCCCTTTAAGTACTTCGTATACTGCTCCATTTTGCAGATTGGTTAAATAATTTGCCTAAGATAATGTACCCAGTAAGACTTAGGGCTGAGATATCAGCCTCTTAAGTGAGGGGCTGAGCTCAGAACATGCCATTCCAGCTGCAACAGGATGTCATCAGCCCAGTGGTAAATTCTAATATTATTTTTCCCTTCCTTTACAGGTTGTTTCTGTGGCCTGGGACTGGTTAGCACCAACAAGTCCTGCTCAATGCCACCCATCAGTTTCCAAGACCTCCCGCTAAACATCTATATGGTCATCTTTGGCACAGGCATCTTTGTCTTCATGCTCAGCCTCATCTTCTGCTGCTATTTTATCAGGTTGGTGGACACTGAGTAACCTGGGGAAGTGTGTCACAGAGGGAGGAGGCCCGGGCCAGATACTAACCTTCATGCCCAAGCACTGCTGGGAGGACACGACTCGGCCTGCCCTTCTCTGGGCCTTTGGGACTTGTGATTCTATTTACATCAGCCTATCAGGTTGTCCCAGAGCACGAAAGGTCACCATTCTGTCTTTCGTCTAGGTCTAGAATTGCTGTCTGGCTTGAGTACTTAGCCAGTGACTCCCCAACTGGCCCTCTCATCCCCACTCATGTCCTCTGTGCAGCCAGGAATGGGTGGGTATCATTGGCTTCTTTCTTTGCCCTCCTGGGAAACCCCTTGTCAACTTTGCTGATACTGGCGAGGTAATGTCAAAAGATGCGAGTCACATTTAATTTCTTAGTGATCTTGGGAAGAACTTGAGCTTGGCCGAGGGAGGCAAGCTCCAGAACTGTTGCTCTTCTGCCTGTTGAAGTCCTGGGAACTCGTGGCTGTTTTCTGCAAAAGTGTTTGGGCACAAATGGTATTTAGAATGGGAATCCAGGTAGTAGTGTTGTACCTGGGGTAGACTGCTGGTATCCGCAATTTCTAGTGGTGTGGGACTGTACTGTGTGTCGGAAAGGGTCGACTATCCCTGGCCCTTGCAGTCTTGTGTCTCTGTCCCCACCACGCATACTACCAAATGCATGGGTAGACATCAGCTGGGGTCTAGGCCAAGGTCTGATCAAATCACTTAAGAAGATCAAGGCAAAGGAGTCCTGGTTCTCTACTGAGAACCCTGCTGGGTGAGTGCTTCGGGTGGGGAGCAGCAAGAGGGGAAAGAGACATCCACTCCAGTCCAGTCCAGGCCAGCCAGTCTGTGTTCTCTGAGCCCGAAAGAGCTTGCTCGAGGAAGGAGACATTCTTCTGGGCCTTGCTCCCAAGTTCTAGTTGCTACCTTGGGCCTCTTCTACCTCAGAACTTCGCAAGAGTTTCTAGGACTGGGACCTATGCAGAGAAGATAGTGATTTACTTGAACAACTGAGTATAAAATTATTCTTGAACAATTGACTATAAAATTTGCATTTAACTATTAAGTGGAGATGAGGGTGGATTCTTGGCATCTCTCCTTCTCTCCCCTTCCTCTCCCTTTCCCTGAACCCTAAGTTTTCTCCTTTAAGCACTTCTGAGTCCTCTGACCTTTTCCTATAACTCCCATATCGAGTAATTCACTTACTTCCCCGAAGGCTAAATGTGAACACATAGCAAATACCAGAGGCTTATTAGGATGAGGGTGGGAGAATCTGCAAAACCAATCCTGTTTGGCTCCTTTGCACACGTGCACACACGTGCATGTGTGCACGCCAAACCCCAAAAGCAATCAAAGTAGCATGTCCAGAGACTGCCCTGGCACCAAGTGACCAGGGTTTGCTTCCTAACTGTGCCACTTGGCATGCCCTTAGGTTTTCAGCTGCCCTCACCAAGGACTTTTCTGTGTGCCAAGCATTGTGGTTCGCATTTGGTAAACCATTTAGGTCACTTAATTCTCTGCACAAGCCCACAGTTTCAGGGTGGGCCCACTGTATAAATGAAGACATTCATGCTCTGACAGTTAAGGGCTTTGCCCAAAGTCATCCATCCACACAGACCCGAGATGGGCTGGTGTGGTAACAATCAGCTGGTCTCCAGAGTCCATCCATATGTTCGCCTTCTGGGAGTCTTCATCCTCATTTGGGAAGTAGAGGGGTCCTTGTGGGATCCGTGGCCGCTGCCTGATGGCTGGGCACTGGATCCTGCCGAGGACAGGCTGGAGATCTATATGGCACAGACTGGTTTCTCTTTATTTAGCCAGAGTAAAAGAACAGAGCGGTCACCTCATGATGCTGAAAGCTGTCCCCACTGTGTGCTGCCGGCACCATCTGTCCCTATGCAGTAATCTGCGCCTTTGTCCTGCAGCCTGTGCAAAGCCAGTGACCCTGACTACAGGGGCTCACTGGTATGTAGAATGTATGCCTATATATAGAAAGACACACAAGCACAGAAGCCACTTCCTCTCTGCTTCTTGGTTTCCTCCTCAGCCAAAATAGGCCCATGACTGCTGCTCTGGACCTGGTAAACTCGCAGCCAAGGCCAGCTGCCATTGCCAGCTGCCCCTATTCCTCCGCCCCCACAGAGCTGACCTTTGCCCTGCGCAGGACAGAGGGGCTGATGAAGTACAAATAGGCAGGAAAGGAACAATTATCTTCAGGATCTGGCAGCATTATTGTTTGTTCTAAAAGGGAAAAGAGGAAAGGGAGAGCCCACTGGCAGTGGCTAGAAATGGTCTCATTGAAATGAGGGTATTTTTAGTTGCTTTGCTCAGCCAACAACTGAGAAGGCCACCTGTCCAAAGTGGCTGGCTCTTTGTACCCAGCTGGGATTACCTAGGGTTTTGCTTTTGCTGTTTTCCTTGCAAGCTTTTGGGCCCCATTTCATCATGATCTCATCTTTCCTAAGCTGAATTCTTTACACAGGACAAAGGTGCAGGTCTGACGCTTTCATTCTGAGTGTTCTGAAGAATGCCTGGGTGAAACCATTAAAGGGAGAGCGCCAGACCAGAAGGAAGAGGGTCGCTAGGGTGCTGCAGTCACAGAGGCACTGCACCCACCACACGGCGGGGAGCCACGCTGCAGGGGAGGCAGCTGAGCCTCTGAAGCTGTGTGGCACTCGACATTCCGCAGACAGAATTAAAGACCAATGGGAGGGAGCAGCCAGGCATAGTGGTGCACACCTGTACTCCAAAGGTTCAGGCAGGAGGCAAGTCTGAGGCCAGCCAAGGTCAGTGCAGACTACACAGTGAGACCCTGTCCCAAGCCCCACTCCCAAAAGGATGTAGCTCAGAGGTAGTGTTCATCTAACACAAGTTTAATTACCACAACTGCAACACACAGTCAGAGGCTCTTCACCACTTCCTTATTTACATTGCCTGTGCCTCAAAGTGGCGCAACAACGTCTTTCTCCCACAGAAGGCTCCCAGCTCAGTGTCAGGCAGGTCACAGTGACATCAGCTTGGGATCCGTCCTCCCTGTCCCTCTCATCTGCAGGATGGGGTAGAGATGTATATGTTGCGCTGCAAGCCCGTTCTGGGCCAAGGAGGAGTCCTCTGCCAAGGTACAGACAGGACAGAGGGATCCCTGGTTAGACCTTTAGCCCAGGCCTGCCCTGAGCAGAAAGCGCAGGGCGAGAGAAAGGGAAGGGGCGGTGGGACATGCTGCTGCCCAGCCCCAGGCACATGGCAGGACTTCCGGACAGCAGCGGCCTCCTGACTTGTGAGGAAAGGTGAGGAGGCTGGCAGGCAGATCTTATCAGCTCTGCACTGTGCCATCTTCTGCTTCTTCCTCAAACCCAGGGAAGGTTTCAGCCTCCTCAGTGCCCTTGAGGCATCTTCACACCCTCTTTGACACGGGCTGTCCTGGAGGGGGCAGGTTCTGTCTTTCTCACCTGGATCCTAATTCTTCAGTACAAGGTTGATGGTAAATAGTTGAGGCTTCGCGGGTCCCGAGCTCTCAGTTCTTCTGTTAGTGTATAGTACGGCGGAAACTGAGCACAGCTGTGTGCTGATAACAATTAATAAACACTCAAGTTTGCTTTTTTTTTTTTTCCTCTAGTGGTTTAGATAAAACCTAAGGCCTTGAGCATGCTAGGCAAGCACTGCACCCCTGAGCTACACTCCGGCCTTATATTTTTGTCATGAGATATAATTCTTTCATTAATGTTAGTTCATTTTTATGAGTTATTAACTTCTGTTTTCAAAGATTCTTAGCTTGTGACCACTGTAAAAAGAGGCTGTGAGTGAACTATATTTGGCTTCTAATCTGCCCCTACTCTAATTTGACTGGTTTGGGGTGGTTTCTTCCAAAACCCAGGCCTGTGTTAGAAATCAGGGTTGCAAGCTCAGAGGCAGATTGTGGGCTTAACACGGACAAGACCCTGGGCTCAATTTACAGAGCAAAAGTACTGGGGATGTAGCTCAGTGCCGAAGGCCTAGACTGAATCCCCAGTGCTGCAAGTGAGAAAGGGGAAGGAAGGAAAAAAAAAAAAGGAGGGAGGGAGGGAGGGAGGGAGCTGCCAAATTCAGAGAAAGTCAACTCCACTGAAATACAAAGGTGCAATATCGGTGCATAATTATGGTTCCTGCCATTTGCATCATAAGCTATTCAGAGGGACACAGATTTAATGAAATGTAGGTATGTCCCAAGATCGAATTACATTCTCAGGGCTGTGTTGGGGGCGGGCCACATCCTCTAGTAAAGAGGACGAGCTCTTTAATCACACACTTTGATTTAAATCCAGGTACTGCTGCCAAGTAGCTCTATGAAAGTCTTCGGCAAATAACTTAGCCTCTTTGGGCTTCATTTCCCTCATCTACAAAGGCAAATCTTCCTCTTTTAAACCGTTTGGCTCAACGAGCAGTCACTTGACTAGGTTGGTGCCCAAGTGTCACAGAGCGAGTACCCGCTGAGGCATTAGTTCATTGCTGTCAGTAACACCATGCTATGTTTTGGGTATTGAGGGGGAGGCCACATGCAGACCACCAGCCTGGGAAAAGGAGAAAACCAGGAAGGTATCGCCTGTGGTTTGCCTGGCACCAAAGGGCAGTGTGTGCTTTGGTTCCCGAATACCTGTGTTCTCCAGATTGAATATTCCTCATGGTCAACAGAGACTTGTTTATCCTGCTGCCCTGGCTGAGTGGAAATATCCCCTTACACCTGTCTAACTCTGTACACTTATAAGCACACATGGTTGATCTATCTAGTTTGGATGCCTGAAGGAATTTACCTGGTGGGAAAGTACAGGGAGATCAAACAAGCTGTTTGGAGTGCTCTGCTGGAGAAGCTCCCAGCTGCGTATGGGACCTGGCAGTGAGTCAGCAAGAGTCTTAGTCCTTAGCCAACTGGGTGGCTGCTATAGGTCCAAACCATGCCCATGATGCTTAGAGGCCGAGCACTCCTGTGCTTAGCCCAGGCAGCTAGCCAGTCTCACCTGCTTTGATGACTATTCCTGCAATAGTAAAGTAACTTGTTCTCTCTTCTTTGTACCCTAGCAAACTCCGGAACCAGGCACAGAGTGAACGATACGGCTATAAGGAGGTAAGGTTCTCCCTCTTTCCCTGACGCCTGCTTCTTCACCAGGTGCCACGATGGGGCCGGGTAGGAGAGCAAGCCCAGGCTGCCCTGGCTGAAGTCCCCTTGGTCTCACTTCTCAACCTGGCTGAGGCCAGCTCCTGTCCCTGTCCTCCAGCTGGACTTGTTCTGAGTGGCCAGTACTCCTAGGCTTGGTCCTCCTGACTCACGCTACCTCTCTGCTCCCCAGGTGGTGCTCAAAGGTGATGCCAAGAAGTTACAGCTCTACGGGGTAAGTGGCCGGGACTGCAGTGGGAGGCCCCAGCAGCTACGGTAGGAGTGCCTTTCTCCAGCTCGCAGCCCAAGCCTTTGGTCACCTCAAAGGGACTCCTCCGCCTAGAGCAGGACACAGAGGGATCATGATGAGGGGTAACACCTGCCCCAGGACTTCAGCTGGGCATAAGCTGTAACGAAAGGATGGTCGCACCACTCCATGCTGTGGGCACACTGCAGCTAAGTGTCTCCACGTCCAGCTCCTGTGGCCTGCTTTCTCACTAGAGAAAATCAAGTCCTTTCCCCACACACGTCCTCACAGACCAGGTCTGACCAGGGGGCCCGTTCCCATGGCTCTTCCTCATTACGCATATGCAGTTCCTGGGGTCCCTTGACTCTGACCTTTCATTTATTTCCCTGGGCTTCCATCCACAAGCACGGACATTCCTCATCAGAGTGTTTGTGGTCATCTGGGAGTGAGCATCACCAGGCATGAGACTGCCTAGACGGGGCCTCAGTTTCTTCTTGGTTTTGATGACCACGCTTACATCCAGCAAGTTCATGTGTTTTCTAAGCCTTTCTCCACAAGAGTAGTTCATCTGGGGCATCTACGGACCTAGACAGACGTGGTAGCACGTCAATAATCCCAGCACTCAGGCTGAGGCAGAAGGATCATGACTTCATCCTGGGTGACACAGTGAGTTCAAAGCTGTCCTGGACTACATAGTGAGACCCTGTCTCAAAAAAACAAAAACAAAAACCATATGGGACTTAAGCCTGGATTTGAAGGACACAATTCATCACATTCTTCCTTATTTCGGGCTCTGACTGCTAAGGGCCCGATGTGTTCAGCTAGAAAGATGTAAAGCCATTCTTGTAGAGCAGCACCCCCTCCCGTGGAAACGCCTGTGATCGTGGGAGCTTTCTGTCTACACCGTCCCCCGCGGCCACCATCAGCCACAGGTCGCGACTGCACATTGGCTGTGCGGCTGCCACTGGAGCACGGGGGAGGCCGTGGATTCGGTTTCAAAGCAACTCTGAGCCAGCCAACGCCATGAGCAAAGCCCGCTGTCCCAAGTCGAACATAATTATGGTCAAGGACTTCACCTGTAAATCACGTGTCCAGGAAGCACTGTAAGGATCTGACCCCTGTATGAATTGTGACACATGAACGTGTGGAGCTTGCCGCTGTGGGTAGCAGCACAATGCTGGTAACCTGAGGAAGTAATATCACACTGAACCCTTGGCATGAGTGTAGATGCTGTTAGGCAGGGAAATTCACGTCCCCTCTCCAAAAGGCGTGACTTTTCTTCTTTTCCCCTCTCCTCTCTTCCTATCTATGCCTGTTTTTCTTCCTCCCTCCCTCCCTCTCTCTCTCTCTCTCACTGAGCACATTCTTTTCTTCTGACCTACACACACTTCTAGCCCATCCCCCCCACCCTTTGGTTTTTTTAAGGCAAGGTCCTGCTACACAGTCCAGGCTGGACTTGAACTCACTCTGTAGCCTTGAACTTGCAGTCTTCTTGCCCCAGCTACCTGAGTGCTGGGATTACAGGCTCGTGCTAGCATGCCTGGCCACATTTTTCATATTAAATTTTTGTTAAATAGACCTTTTTAATAAAAATAAATGTGGCCAGTGCAAGGCAGGAGGTAACTTTACACTTGATCTTAGCCAAAAGGCCGAGAAGCGATAGGAGGTAACTTTATAAAGTCATCTTTAGGTTAACTTAAATTTATGCAGCCACGTATGGTGAAAGGCTAAATTTCTCTGTCTGACCGAGGAGACTGGGCTAGAGCTTAGTGTTCTTGACTGAGGATGAGGTAACTGCACTCAGAGTGGGTGAGTGGGTTCTTGCCAGCCTCCTCATGGGCCTTCCTCCCTCTCTCCGCAGCAGACCTGTGCCGTGTGCCTGGAGGACTTCAAGGGGAAGGCCGAGCTAGGCGTGCTCCCGTGCCAACATGCCTTCCACCGCAAGTATGTGGGGATGTGGTCATGGCTGGCCAGTGGGGAAGTCAGGGAGCCTCGTAGAGAACCTTCAGTCCCGGCCTTCTCCCTGTCTACCACTTGCCAGTGATACCCTAGATTCTGTCTTGCTTGGAGACCAAGCCAGCCAGAGGGGTTGGGCTGGGGCAGGCATAGGGATGTTCTTGTTCTGAGAAGCAGCTGGGCACTCAGACACAGCCGTAGCGGCCTGGGGAAGCTTCCCAGAGATAGCAGTGCTTTGTTCACAGGTGTCTAGTGAAATGGCTGGAGGTCCGCTGTGTCTGCCCCATGTGCAACAAGCCCATCGCCGGCCCCACAGAGGCCGCTCAGAGCATCGGGATCTTACTGGATGAGCTGGTGTGAGCACTGCTGTGCTGAGACGCGAAGACCTCTTGCTCTGTGGGTGTCTGGCCCTCTGACAGCCACAATGAATAAGACTGTTGAATGCTGATCGTCACAGTCACCCGAAGGGGAGTGTGGCACAGGGCTGGTGTCCCACCCTAAGGACGAGACCAGTGCCAGACCTGCCCATCTTTCTGTCTCCTCAAGCCTTCCTGTCCCTCAGTACCTATGGCCTCACCCAGCCAGACTTCTGTGCCCTAGTACTGGACATCTTCCTGCCTTGTTCCTGCCCGGTAAGGAATCCACCCTCACCTGGCCATGGATACGGACACTGTCCTCCCTCAGTTTCCACTTCCAGGACAAGCTGGCAGGGTGGGGCTGGCTCTGCCCCACCTACAACCTCCACTCCCCTCCCTACTTCCATGGAAGGATACAAGGGAAGGAAGGAAAGACCTAGGAACCAGGCGCCTCCCCTGGAAGTAGAGAACAGGGACCTCTACAAGGAAAACAGTCAATGTTTACATGGGACCTAGTGAAACAGGTTGGACAGAGGCGGGCTGAATGCAGAGGCATGCAGAGCCCATCCCTGCCCCTGCTAGGATCTGAGGTGCTATCTGTCTACCCACCCTTGCCTCTTCCTCAGTTATTTCAGAGCTTCCTATTCCGTGTTGGGGTTGGAGAGCCCTCCAGCGGAAGGCCTATTATCCGGTCAACTGCTTCCCAGGGGCTTTTTCTAAAGGAGTGAAAGGGGCCCAAGGACAGGAGTGTTGGAATTCACAGTATCAACGGATACCTGGGCCCCCTTTGTAAATAGTATTTTTATACTCCATCCTCACCATCTCAGGCTTTACCCATGGGATTTCCTGCAGTGGCGAGGGTAGGAGGTGTCCCTTCCTTCCCAGAGTGGGTGAGGGTGGAAGAAAGATATGTATTTAAAGAAAATTAAATTTAATAACAATTTTGTCTAATCAATTTGCCTGTGGTTGTGGCTCTGCCTGTTGGTTTCTCTGACAGTAAAGGGAACAAAGTTCTCTAACTGCCTCTTCCTGCTTTCTCCTACCAAAATCAGACACATGCATAGAGGTGATCCTAGTCGCTTTTTATTTGTTTGTTTTTTAAGTTACGCCAGGGTCTTGCTAGGTTGCCCAGGTTGGTGTAGAGGTTGTCATTGTGCCTGACCCTCCTCAATAGCTCGGGTTGCAGGTGTGCCACCACACTCATATGTTGTTAAACTTAAAATTATCCAGGTATGGTGGTGCATGCCTGTAATTCCAGCACTAGGGAGGTTGAGGAAGGAGGCTCCCTTGAGTTCAGGAGTTAAGACACCAGCCTGGGACCCCATCTCAAAAAGAAGTTTTTTTAATTGATAATAGATTCATACTTGCATAACATAGGTTAAGACTAATACCTGTGTACAGGAGAAACTTACTTAGCTAAGCTCACTTGTCAGACTTCTAGAATATTTTAAAGAAAGTTAATGTTTCAGGCACATTGACTGCACTCAAGCTCAGAACTAATACGATTGTACTTGTAGCTGTCTGTCCTGACAACTAAAGGTTTAGGCTGCTTACCAGAGAAGCCGGACCTTTTGCTGCTTTCTTACCTGGTAGCTGTCACTCACTGGCTGGCACATGCTAGCCCACAACTTGAGTGGACTGGGAGTGTGAGGAGAGCCTTTCCTGGCTCTCACTGTATGAACACGAAGCAGGGGCTCCCTGTTCCCCCACGCTTGGTGGAACAGGTAGAGGCCGGTGGCCAAGTGGGGAGCAAGTCCTCCTGGGCGTAGAGCTCGGGAGGAGCCTGTGCTGAGCGAAGTGCAGCGCGCTGTGCGTTGGCTGCGCAGGAGGAGCGCCTGGTCCCCACGAGTCGGGAGGAGTGTGGGGAATACGGCGGTTTGTACTCGTGGACGCCCCGGAAGCGCAGCTGGGGCACCTGCTGTCTCCGTGTTATCAGAGCCTGTCTTCACCCACGGGTGCACCTGTTGTCGAGACTTCCTCCTCACACCGTAACCTTGCCCCTGTAGTTACTGCCCGACGTGTGGGCCTTGATCTTGCTTCATCAAGGGACCCACTTCCTGCTCTAGCACAGCTAGTTTGCTTTAGTGGGGGGCGGGCGGAAATGCATTCTCTAAGCAAAACAACCTCGCTCTAGCTGCTGCCGTGGCCTCGGACTCGTGGTCGATGCAGGTAATTAGTAGGTTGGCTTCACATCTCTTGCCTCACTATCTTCCCTTTCTTTTAAGGAAATTTCGTCAACGTTGAGTGCATTAGTGTTTGCATGAAAATGCTATGACTAAAATATGCATTTCAGCTGGGTGTAGTGGCACACACCTGTAATCCCAGCACTTGGGAGGCTGAGGCAGGAATATCACCAGGTGTTTGAGGCCAGCCTGAACTACATAGACCCTGTCTCAAAAAGCAAAAATAAAAATGCATTTCACAAATTTTCGAATCAATTTGAGTTCAAAATGATGAGAAACTCATTATTTCTAGTGCTATTTAAGTCACATAGTAAGTATAGAGTGTGTAAAAGGGAATCCGAACAAGGTATTGCTTAGGCGATCAGCAATGAATTGGCATCAGCTGTACACAGGTTCACTAATGGGAAGGCCCAAATTCACCCTCATTAGCATGGTCATGTTGCTCTGCAGCATTTCTAGACATCCACTGAGGACAGAGGAGTCCTTGCCTTGGGGAAAAGGCGTAGGTGCTGTTTTTCAGGTGAGCAAGCCTGAGTGGCAGAGACTCCTAGGTCAACTGGTGTGGAAGCAACAGCAAGATGCCAGCCTGGCTGTGATGCCAGAGTCGCGGCCAAAGTTAACATGAGCATTAATCAGCCTGTTTGGGACCAGAGAGTGCAAACAATTTTGTATGAAGCTGAAATCGGACAAGACGGGGGTTGAGAAAAGTCCTGTGTGGAGCCAGAAATGAGGTCTTTGATACAATAAATATCCTAACATTTATTTAGATAAGTCTTTTAAAAAAAAATCTCGGCACCGCTTGGCACCAAGGCAATTGTTTTTCCTTTGTGCACTCAGACAACTTCACAAGCAACTGTACTCTTTGATACAATAAATATCCTAACATTTATTTAGATAAGTCTTTTAAAAAAAAATCTCGGCACCACTTGGCACCAAGGCAATTGTTTTTTCCTTTGTGCACTCAGACAACTTCACAAGCAACTGTAGTACATCTAGTGCTATTTAAATGAATGAGGCTGCACGCCAAATGCATTTCAAAGGAGAAATCACTGAAGGAAGCAGTGATGTATGTAACGGGATTCCAACTTCACTGGTAACTGACAAACAGGCCATTTTGGTCCATCAGAAGTGGCTGCCTACCTAAAACCATTTGCTGTCTTTTCTGGAGCTTGGATTAGGGACAGATTATTGAAAAAGGCAAATAGTTCACACATAGCCATTAAGTGTGGGGCAGAAATAGAAACCCAGATAGTGGGGAATCTAAGTTCATTGTCAGCTTTACTCCTCACAGGGCTTAGGAAGCAGCAGACTCTCCACGTAGATATTCAAGGAAGTGTCAGTTATTAACTCCTGGGCTTATGCATCCAGCGAAGACAAAAACCCCAGAGAACTATCAGATGTTATGTGTGCTTTGCCATTTGTCACCATGTGGTAGCCTTGGTTTTGTTTGTCTTTAACTCCACGGTGAATTACTTAAAGAAACCGTATGTGGACCTGCCACTTATGGGTAACTGCAGTGAGGGCAGAAATTCAGAGTTCTTGTTGCACAAAATTTGAGAACCACGAACTGCCACAGCTGGGAACAATGTGTGCTTTAAGGAATTGTGTTTTGTGGGGTGCGCCAGGGGGGTTGTAGTTCGGTGGCACCATGCCTGCCTGGCAAGTGCAAGGTCCTGAGTTCAGTTCCCAGTACCGGGAAAAAAAAAAATTGTATCCTCCCATTCTCACGTCTGTCCTATCAGTTCTTACTCCTGAACCCTCTGCAGCTCCACTAGGGCTTTTCTCGTTAGGGCTTTTTATGCCTCCCCAATTTTGTCATGTTTTTCGCCTAAGACCAACCTGTGCCTTCTATTCCAGAACCCTCTTCAGTGTCCCTGACCATATCATGCACAGGTCATTCCTTTGTTGAGCCATGAGCACAGGTTCAGAGGAGTAAAAGTGATCAACTTGGGGATAATACAAAATGACCAATTATGCACACTTGTACAAGTTTATGGAAAACATTAAGACCCATGCCTTGAATTGCCTCTGACTCTATTAAAAAAATAAAAAAGCTGTTCATTTAATTCCTTTCTGATAAATGGTAGACCATACAAAGGGAGGGCATCTGGCGTCACACTTGTACTGTGGTACAGCACCTGATTCTTTCCCTATGTGACAATCTCATCAAGAAATCAGGATGTGCTTCATAGAGGAAGGGGCAACAAGGGACACTACAGCATCAGGAGGAGAAGGCACATCACATTTTTCTAATCCATCTCTCCTATTTCTTTTTTCTCCTTTCTTTACCCTTTTCCCTCATCCAATCCTATTCATTAATATTTCTGAGAATATAAAGACGTTTCAGGATCTTCCCTGTGAGACCCCACTGTCATGAATGGTTCGGAAGGCACGCAAATTAGCACACGATGGTGCAGGCCCCCACAGGGGCCAGCTCTGCGTTTCCAGATGTTTAACATCACATATGTTCATTCTGTCTCGAGAGAATGCTGGGTATTCTCAAATATAGAGCTGAAATTTGGGAAGACTTCGATATATTAAAGAAATGATGTAAATGATGTTATGTGAGGGAGGCCAATGCATCCAAACCCAAATGAAGGAAAAACTAGATTTGTTTAGTAAATGTCAGATTGGGTATTAATCAAAAAATCAGAACAAATTCAAAATGCAATAGCACAGTTATGAGGTGCCAGGGAGTTATTTTATCTACTGCCTTTAATATTGAAATCTCTATCAGGTTATTTGATTCTGCATAAAAACAGGGGAGGTGTAAAAATTCCCGTGAAGGGCTGGAGGTTAGAGTGCAAGGCTCTGGGTTCTATCTTCAGAAAAGAGTCCCATGAGGAAGAAAAGAATATTTTAAACCTGGAGGTATAAAGACTAAAGGACGAGCATCTTACTGTCGTTTTCAGTACCACGCTGTAAGCATGAATCTCTACCACAAACTCAGACCATCTAGAAATTATTGTTTCTGTCCTTTAAGTTGCTTTTGGCTCTGAGTCATCAACTTTCTGAGATAACAGGAAATCCTTTCTCTGTCTGCATTGCTATCTCCCTTTCTAAAAATGCTCATGGGTCTCAGTGTCACACAGATAAACACTCCCAGTTCCATCCTTTTGTATGTACTGTGTAACCACCGAACTCTGTCTTTCACCCTGAAGACATAGCCATCCCGCATCGACCACCTTTGGTCCCAGGCCTTGAGGATGGAAAGCTTACAGAGGTGACAAAGGCCCAGCTCATCCAGATTCCGTGTGGCCACAGCTGCCTGGGAGCTAAGACGTGGGTCCCCACCGATGGTGGAACTTGCCACTTTTGTCCTTTTCGAGCAGAAAGCATGTGGAATGAACCACTTGAACCCTACCATAGACATTTTGATGCATTTACCCTATCACACATCTACCCAAAATCAGCATGGTCCTCTTTTTTTTTTTTTCAGCTTTAATTGAGTTTATTGGTACATTTTAGGGATACAGTACAGTTACATTCATTGTTGGGATCATGAAACCTCTACATGGCAAGTCTTGATTCTCATTTTTTCCCCTTACCTCTGCCCTCCCTTCACCCTCAGCATGGTCCTCTTAAGACATGTTTCAAAGTCAGCTTCAGATACCAATACTCTTCCTACTATTAATTTTTACAAGTATCTTCTCCTTTTGTAAGTGAACTGAGGATGGCCAGAAAACTGCCTTGACTATGAAGGTAAACATAAACTTTCTGACTAGTCTTGAGGAGTAGCTCTGACTAA